CCGGGTCCTGTCCCCATGAGGGCGGGCAGGCCGGGAGCAGCGGTGGCGAGCAGCGCTGGAGCCGGGCTTGCCGTCTGTCTGCGGGCCTCGGAGCGGGTGCTGCTTCGCCCGGGTTGGAGCAGCACCTTGTGTGGCCCAGGCTGGGGGGTTTGGGCAGCTCCTACACCAGAGGTTGGGCTGGGAATGCAGGGGCAGGAAGCGGGAGCTTTAGGGGGAGGAACTTGTAGGAGGTAAGAGAAGGCCTACAGGAGAGTATAATGCCTTTATATTTACCAGACTATGTCATATTCATTCAGAACCTCAGTGCCTTGCCTGTCAGCTTTGGTGGCATAGAGGATCTTGCCTGTAGAGAGGAAGATCCTTCGCTTTAACTTCATCATCTCTCCCCGCTTGCCTGGTGAGCTTGTACATTGCAGCTGTTACCAGAGGAAGTATCTGCTTTGTGTGCTTGTCCCACGTGCCTGAGGTAGCTGCAAACTGCTTCATGTTACTAGAATATATGCTTCAAAGCTATGGGAGTTTAAAAAAGATCACATTAGTGATGCAGTCATCTTCTACCACAGTCCCCTAAGCTGACAAATAGGGAAGATGTGAAAAGACAGCTCGACATTCTGAGTGTTTAGCAAAGCTCAGTTCTGAATCAGTCCAAGAAAAGAAAGGTGTCATCTAAGTTGCTGAATCAAATTACTATAATTTGAAGATTAAAGCTGGTTGAGACTTTATGCCTATGAGGATTATTTTATTAATTTTTTTTTTTAAGATTTTACAAATGGTTTACCAAGTGGGCTATGCATTATTTCCTTGCAGACCTCTTCCTTGCCTTCAGTGTCTGTATCATAGATAGCTTTCTGGCATCTACAGTAATGGCCACCTGGGAGAAATTATCTACTCTTGTACTGTCAGGGCTAACTGAGGATTGTAAGGGTTTGGGGTTTGGTGGTGGGTTTTTTGGTTCAGTTTGGAGAGAGAACCTTTCTTCCCTTCTCTAGGCATTGAGAATTTTATCTAGATCTTGCATGAGCAAGATGAAAATGAAAGTGAGCAAGCGGCCGTCGTTGTGCATACAGAAGTGCGTTTAGAGTCTTGAGAAAGTTTCTGTCTCTGGTGTGGCATGAGTGCAATCAGGGCTGGCACAAGGGTGGAACCTTCAGCTGGCTGCTGTTGCGGGATGGTGAGCCGTGCTGCCGTGCCCGGCGTGATGCTTCCTCTGCTTCTCTGTGCTGCACCCTGTGGGGCTTCTGGTGCTGTCGTCTTGTGCATCAGGGGGCTCTCGGAAAGTGCCAGCCACCTCCTTAGAATGAGCGTGCACAGGAGCCTCTGTCAGAACTCTTCTTCCAGTAGTTAGAGGAAAGGCTTTTTTGGTTTCTTTCGGGTATCAGCAGTTTCTTGTCAATTAACACAGGGAGATGCAGAGTCCTTTGCCAGGCTTTGAGGAGAAGCTGCTGCTGCAGGACCTTTCCCACCTCCAGTTACTATTTTGCTCTTAAGATTCTTCAGACCTTGGAAGCTACATCTTTGATTTTAGATTTAATGGCAAAATCAGTGCTTTAATTAAACTAAAAAGATTGGCTTGTTCACCTGTAGCTCCTGCTGTTTTGACAAGGAGGGAAATTAATGAGGGTTTTTTAAAAAATAATTTTAATTTAATCAATTTTTTATCTTTCTTTTAAATCTTTGAAGACCCAAGTACCTGACAGTTTACATTTCAGGAAGGGTGGAGAAGCTAGGCTGTCTCTCTAGGAATGATGTGATGTACCAAATGTGAAATTTTAGAAATGAGCAAGATGTCTCTTAATGTGTTCCAGCAGTAATTGGTGGTTCTAGCAAGTAGCTGAAAATACTTGTGTTAATTGTAGCTCATGTAAAAATATATGTTTTTAAGTAGTTAGTCAAATTCACTTACAGTTGTACTGAAGTGCAACTTCCAGAGCCAAAGGGATCTAAAAGATCTGTGTACAAATCTGCCATAATCTCCAATATGGGTTCCTTGGCATATATAGTGGAATTTGATTATAGGTCTTGCTTATTTTCAGAAGTCCTTGTGCGAGTGGTGTTGACTGTCTCCTCTACTTTTTGTTTGTGTGTCATTTAAACACCTGTGTACAAGGAAAAGAGATTATAACGCTTTCACTTTTTCAGTTGTTTTTTCAAACAGAGTTTTGGGAGTAAAGACTGCAAATGCAGAGAGATGTTGTGTCTATGGCATTAGTTTGGATTGTTGAGCTTGTTTTTGTTTCATTGTTTCACTACTCATTCATCTACTTGGTGGTTCTTAATGGTTTTTGTATGTCTTTGGAGTTGTGGCTGGGTTTGGTGTTGTTTTTTTCCTTCTAGTTAAATTAAGTCCGTGTTGTGTATTTTACTAATTTATAATTCTGTGTATTTAACCTTCTGTTTTTAAGGAGAAAAGTAAAACTGTCTAATCAAAGAGCAAAGATGCAGAGCACTTCAAATTACCTCTGGCTGTTGTCTGACATTCTAGGACAGGGAGCTACTGCCAATGTTTTCCGCGGACGACATAAGGTTTGTGAGATATTGCTAATCTGAGCAACATGTGAGGTTGAAATAATTAAATATACAAAAAAATATTCGAGATTTAGACCTAACACAAATATATCTTTGTAATTATTTATACTTAGTTTTTGTTTTTTAATATGAATCCGTTTAATTAGATTTCTATACAGTTATTTCTGAGGATTTGGTTTTATATTGTATTATTTGTTCTTGTAAAATTTTAACTGTTATTAATTTTTTTATCCCTTTGTTCTTCAGTTTTATAGAAAAAATATTCCTTGCGTAAGAATTTAAGTAGGAATAGAAGTGTTACCAGTTTTTATTGCATGATATGTTATTTTTGTCTTTGTTAAGTTATCTTTTGATAGTTTTCCCCTGATCTTTTTAAAACATTTTTTGTGGGTTTTATTGTTTTGTACCTTAAGGGAAATATTCCTAACATATTACCATATTGGATGAAGTTGTTGTTAGTCTTTGTCCAAAAGTCAATGTTTCATACATGGTTAGGACACCATCTTCTTGGTGACATGCTTGAGGACAAAATAGCCTAGATGTGAATGTAATGTTCCCTTAGAGAAGTGAGTCTGTGTGAAGTCAGTGTGAAATTATGTATAAGCTACAGTGTTTTCTAATTTTCCACGTTTAACTGCAAAGCAACACTAAACAATAATTGAGCAGTTAATGTGCTTTTCTGGGTGAGTGAATGTCAATGCAGAATGTTATCCATGTAAAACTTATGGTTTCATGATTGCACCTGTCATCACCCTCACTAGTCTGAGCCTAGGACCTGCAGCTTGTCAGTGGGAGGAAACTTTTGCCTGGGCACCAGTAGTGCATGAAGTGTGCTGTACAACACACCTGGCCTAAGCACGGGAAGGTTTTGTCCTTAGAAAGAATCTGTTGTACATAAGACTGCTAATGTAAGCTTATTCCTAGAGTGGGTGCAGGGAGATACTTTGTCCTAAGGGGGACAGGAGTTGCACTCTCAGCTGGTGCTGTGGGTGCCTGAGCATGCTGGGGCTTAGTCCCACTTGAGAACTTAAGTCTCTAGTTAAGCTCCTGACTGTGCTCCAGTCACTTAGAGTGTGGGTTTGAACTGCTCCAGGATTTTGCAGGAGTGGTATGTAGTGCTGTACACTGCCTCCTTTGGAAAACACAAAATACTCATTTGTCAATATAAACAGAACAATAAAGAAAAAGAGGGCAGCATTCAGCTTCTGAAAACTGTCTCTTAACTTAAACAATCCAAGATTCTCAAGTGTGGTATGCCCATGTTTCTTATTGATTTGTGCAGGTGGCTTACTTCTTGCCAGAAGTAATTTTTGAGATAAGTTTATGGATCATTCTTGAATGTATAGCCTTTCTAATGCTAACTATTCTTTTTTTAAAAGCAGTTAGATTTTGTGGGTTAACGTTGAGTTTCCATTTTTCTAGGCTGCCTCTAGAATGTATTAAACTAAACCACTATATACTTACCTTTTTTAGTAGAATCTCAATTTCCAACTTAACAGAAAGTACTGTTTTGAACCATTTATAATCTGGGTATGCTCATATGCGCAACAGAAGATCTCAAAATGCTTAGATAATGGGTATTTGTACCTTTACATTCTTATTCTTCTATTTGATTAGCAATTTGTTTGTTTTGAACAGAAAACTGGGGATTTATATGCTGTCAAAGTATTTAACAGTATAAGTTTCCTTCGTCCTGTGGACGTTCAGATGCGAGAGTTTGAAGTATTGAAGAAACTAAATCACAAGAACATTGTCAAATTGTTTGCCATTGAAGAAGAGGTAATGAATTGTTATGATCTGAGATGCATGGTGGTAACAGTAACTCTCTTTTTGCTTTAGCCTTAACTATAGAGAACAAACTCATGTTTTTAAAGAATTATAGCATATGATATAAATACTCTGACCCAACCACCACTGTTATTTGTTCTTCTTGGGCTTTTTTAGTTGTTGTTGTTGAAAGAATGTGCTTTCTTTCAATGTTGAGACACAGGTTATGATTCTTTGAAGCCATCTCAAGAAGTCACTGTCATAAGCTTTATCTTAAATTAGGATATTTAAGCTATCTCCATATATGAATATTTAATATATACTGATAGTTGGAGGTGTTTCAATAATCCTGAAAATGTTATCCTTTTATTCTGCAACAAACTAGAACAGTGACATGTAGAACTGTTTTTTAGTATGAATTTCAGTAGTTGTGCTGAAGCTCAGACTGATCATTTGCATTGAGCCAGATGCTGAGATTAGTAAAGATGAAATAAGGGAACTGCTGCTCTTTGCTCTTCTGTGCTGTAGTTTCTTATTTGTCCAATACTGCTGTCAACGCTCAAAGTGCCTAGAACTTGAGGCTTTCTTAATTTCCACCTCCCCTCTTCCAAGTTAGAATACATTCAACAATATACAAATTAATCTGCAGTTCTTTTGAAGATCACCAGAATGGGATTTATAGCTACAGATTTTATTTTTCCTTTTAATTGAAAGTAACATCCTGTGGTTATATATAATTTTTTGCATTGTTTTCACAGTAGTCAAAGACTTACCTTTTAATTTTTTTTTCCAGACAACAACTAGACACAAAGTACTAGTTATGGAATTTTGCCCATGTGGGAGTTTATATACAGTTCTAGAGGAGCCATCTAATGCCTTTGGTTTACCAGAGTCTGAGTTCTTAATTGTTCTGAGAGATGTGGGTATGTACACTTTGCTCTTTAGTCAAATTTCTTGACTGAAACAAGCTCATAGTTGTTTTGTTTACCTTGAAACAGCAAGAGAGGAGGAATTTGAATGACTGTCAACAAACTGAATGAATCAATATGGTCATATGGAGTCACATCTTTTATTTATGTCTATATTTGTAAAGACAGCTGCAGTAAGGAGCCATTTCTCCATAAAGCGTTGCTGTAATTCTTACATTGGTTTGTTTCAAGATTGTCACGTGTTGGACTGATTCCTAGTGATAATTATTCTCAGAAGAGTACAGTAGAAAAATAATGTGTCTGCCTGTTAGAAAATTTTCCTCCATTACTTTATGGGAAAGATGTTGCTGAGAGCAAGAAATACTGTAATTAAGCTGTTTGCAAGAAAAAAAGGCAAAAATGCTTAGAGTATTTCCTGGTCCTGGTCTTTTTGTTAATTGAGTGACCCTTTGTGTTCCCATTTCCCAGTGAGAAAGTAAATGCATGTATCTTCCTAGCCTCAGTTACAATTCAGTGTTTGTGCAGTCTGTGTCACATGTGCATAAATTCTGTTTTGTTTTTTTTTTGTTTAATGGAAGTGGCTGGGATGAATCATCTCCGGGAGAATGGAATAGTGCACCGTGACATCAAACCAGGCAATATCATGCGTGTTATAGGTGAAGATGGTCAATCTGTTTACAAACTTACAGATTTTGGTGCTGCAAGAGAACTTGAAGATGATGAACAATTTGTTTCTCTCTATGGCACAGAAGAGTATTTAGTAAGCTTGTATGATTTCCCTTTCTGTTGAAGAAATGTTTGAAGTCTGGGGCCCGTTGTTATGCGAGTAGGTGAAGGTTGGGAATTAGCATTTAAACCTTTGTATTATAATTGTTTTTATAGCTTTCTGCCTTTTTCACCTTGAGTCATGCCAGTTCAGCTGATGTGAACACAGTAGCCTTTAAATAATTTCCAGGTCCTATTCCAACTGTTGCCATTTGTAAAAGGAAGAGCAACCGTATTTTTGTTATGAATGTCTTTGCCTTCATCTCTGTGGATATTTTCCAGTATTTATTTGAGATACTTGTATGATGTTAAGGATAGTTAAGATTCACTTGACATCCTAGTTAACCAAAGAGAGACAGGCAGAGGAGCATCAATACAAGCATCTTAGGCATAATTTTATTTCCTTCTGTGTATTATCTTAATGGATATTCTTCTCTGCTATGGATCTTTTTCCAGTTTGATTTCTGTTTTTTCAAAATCATCTGGAGTAATACTGGCTTTCTCCTCCCCTTTAGTGGTGTTATATTCTAGCAGTCAATCTCTAGCTAAATTTTAAAGTATCTTTTGCAAACCTTTAATAAAAGTCGCTGTCATACCTAACACGATATTCACATACTTTTGGAATATTATGTCAGAAAAACAAGTTCTGTGATACAAACTAACTTTGCTTTTGGATTAAAGAGGTGAAGGTTTAGAATGACAGATTACCTTGCTGTGTAGATGGGGTTTTTGTTCTTTGCATTGTTGATAAAGCAATGCTAACATCGATGTTTCTGTTTTGCTTTGCTTTTCTTGTTTTCCTCTTTAGCATCCTGATATGTACGAGCGAGCAGTTTTGAGGAAAGAGCATCAGAAAAAGTATGGAGCAACAGTTGATCTGTGGAGCATAGGGGTGACCTTTTACCATGCTGCAACAGGGAGTTTGCCTTTCCGACCTTTTGAAGGACCTCGTAGAAACAAGGAAGTGATGTAGGTAATTTAGAAGGAGAATTTTATCTGTTCATAAATGAAGGGAGCCCACAAAATGCTTTTTATCAAGAAATCCCACACACCTACAGTAAACATTGAAATAGTGAAAATATTTAAGGAAAAACTTTGTTGTGGTTTTAACCCCAGTAGGCAGCTGAGCACCACACAGCTGTTCACTCACTCCCCCACAGTGGGCTGTGGAAGAGAATTGGAAGGATAACAGTGTGAAAACTCGTAGGTTGAGATAAAGACAGTTTAGTATGTTTGGGGAAAAAACCCACCAAAAAATCCAAAACAAACCCAGTCCTAAATCCAAAGGAAGGCAAAACCAGGATAAACAAGTCATGCAAAAACCCCCTAATTGCTCATCACCAGCTAACTGATGCCTCGTCAGACCCTGACCAGCTGCCACCCTGACACGTTTCTGTCAGGGTGAGCATGATGTCATATGGTATGGAATATACCTTGGGGTCAGCTGTCTTGGCTGTGTCCCCTTCCAGCTTCTTGTCTGCCCTCAGTCTACTCACTGGTGGAGCAGTGTAAGAAGTAGAATAGCCCTTGACCCTTTGTAAAAACTGCTCAGCAATAATAAAAACGTCCCTCTGTTATCAACACTCTTTTGGTCACAAATCCAAAACACAGCCCCATATGAGCTACCATGAAGAAGTTAGCTGTATCCCAGCTGAAACATTCTGCTTTAACAGGGATTTTGCTCTATGGCACCTTAAGACCCGATTCAAGCATCAGAATTCACTCAAAATACTGGTATTTTTCCATACATCTTTTCTTCACCATGGCACAAGGCTGGTCTGTTGCAGTATGGTGTATAGATCTTTGATATTCCAGCAAAATGATGGTACTATGAAACAGGTTTTTAGTGCTGTAAGTTTTTGTTGCCCTTTAAATTATTATCTTCCCAGGCAGACTTGAAATGCATGCCCTACTCATGAGACTGATGTTTTTCCAGTAGAATAGTTGTGGACTGTGGCTGAAGATAATGGGCGTAACTTCTGAGTGGGAAACAGAAGTTGTGTCTGTGATGTGTTGGTTGGAATTGATTCCTGTTTCATCTTAGTGTAGTTCTATTTTGTTGTTATTCTGTGTGTTGCATTTAAGAAAATAAAGAGGGCACTTGGGAAAGCTAATAGGCCAATACCATCTTTGCTCTGGTACACCTTGCAAAGCTGACTCTTGATTTTCTTGTTTTAAGGAGCCACCCATCCTGTGATTATCCCACAGACATTCTTTTGTATCTGCTTGAGATAAGCAAGGAACATATGTTTCGTATGTACCTCATCCTCCAAAAAGAGGAAGAACAACTGAAATTTTCTCCTTTGAAAAGCTTATTGCCTTTGATTTGTTTAATGAGCAGTTAGAGAAATGCTATCCTGTCTAGTACAAAGTTAGACAATGCCAAATTGTATCCAAATTGCTAGATGTTTTCAAGTTAATTTCTCGGTGTCCACCTCCTGTTCCCTCTTTATCCCCAAGTGGCTTTGTGGGGGCTAAATGTCATCTCTTGCTGTGGAACATGCTAGAAGTTAGTAATGTAAATGCCTGAATTGAGCTGCCTTGGAAGTCTGACTTGGATTCATTAACACTTGTGAAAAAATTTAAGCTTCCTTCAGTGATGCCTGAAATGTCTCCTGAATTTGTCCCAAACCTGAGGTACACGGAGTTGCTTCTCCAACACAGCCTGAAGTTTTTTCTTTTAATTGTTTACTATTTTAGCACCACTGTCTGTTAGCTTGTAAATGAAGCTGCCTAATTATTGCACCACCTCCAAGTTTAGGTCAACTTGTTGTTCAGACTTATATTATTCATATCCCCTTAAGGGTTAATTTTATATATTATTCTACAACTAAGTATGTATAAGAGGTAGTAGCTGAATTCTCTTTTCATTTTATAATGTATCACAGGTATAAAATAATCACTGGAAAGCCTTCTGGTGCTATCTCTGGAATACAGAAAGCAGAAAATGGACCAATTGAATGGAGCTGGGAGATGCCTATTTCTTGTAGTCTTTCAAAGTAAGTTTTAGCTTCTCATAAAATGTTTCAGTACTGCTTGATTGGTCTTTGCCAGTTAGTCTCTCAGGATTGGGTCTTTGGAAGAGATCTGACTGTTGTAGTTGTTTTCTTGGAACTCTTCAACAGATTATACAGTCTACTATTAGGTCATCAAGTGTTTTTTTCTTCCCACCTGTCCAAACAGTTTATGACTGCTAATTTACAAATGAGCACCTAAGAATCTGAAGTGGTATGAGTAGAAGAAAGATTATTACTGTATTTTCTCCACCTTCAGAAGGAGTATGAAGATGCAATGAACTTTGAATTGATGGCCACCCTTTCTTGCAACAATGTGACACCAGACGTTACAAAGATTATGCAGTAGGAAGGAAATCATAAGAAAATGCAGTTCAGAGACCTGCATTTTTGCCAGGAAAAAAAATCACATCAGCACAGTGTAACATATTCTCATACTATCTTTTAAAAAATTTTATCATATTTTTGCTTCATATGTCAATACTCAGTAGGAGAAGCCACAAAAGATAAGTATAATCTTAAAACACCTCCTGTAACTTATTTACCTCCTTGTTTTCTTGAGACTTCTTCATTACTTGAGAATCATTACTTTTTCATGATAAAGGGAGAAAGAAATTGTTCTAGAAACAAACTTTTCTGAAAGCTAAATAGGTAGATCCTTAAGGGACAGAGTGAAAGCCTGGTTTATACCAATTCATTAGTTTATAGTGTGCAGAATTTTCAATTTATATATATTTTTTATTATTTCCCCTGCTTATTCCATATAATTGAAATAGTTGAAGTGATAAAGGAAAATATTTTTTTCATTAAAAATCTGTTAAATGTAATAATTTCAAGTAGCGTTAAACAGTATTTACAGTTACAAGTTTAGTATGAAAGTAAGTTTGAGCACAGCATCCTGTGACCTTTAATGGGCCTGTCAATGTGCTTGTCAGCCACTGGAGTTTGCTTCAGGATGTTACCAGTTTTACTGCTGGATTCAGGTTTGCCGTGTACATAAAGTTAAAACTTTGAAGGAGTTGTCCATGATAGCACAGGAGCACGATCCATGAATTTCCTTGCAATTCAGATTCTCAAAGTGGAAGTACAAGAAATTTAAACTGGCCTTTCTCCTGGAATATTAATGACTGTAAGGCTGTAGTTGTTCTTTTTTCTTTGCAGCAGTTGAGCTGCAGGCATGGAGTATGTATTTAGCCCCATCTTGATCAAGATGAATTCTGTTAGTGTTGACAATTTAAGTAATGAGTCTTTGCTAACCCAGCTGATTTTGATTTAAGGCAACACAGTGTGCTCACACAAGCAGCTCAGCCGGCAAACCATAAATGGCAGTAGCTTCCTTCAAAGTGATAAGCTGTGGTAAGTGTGTAGGATGAGCTAGATGAAAGACTACTGCCCAGCAGTGGTAGAAGGTGACCTTAGCCCTACAATGTAGACTTCTTAAATCGCATCCTGTTTTTCCAGTGCTTGTGAAAAGCACTGGAGTTTTCTTCAAGGGATAAATACCAGATTTAAATTTATGAAATAAGTGAAATTAAGTATTGCAATTGGTTACAATGTGAATAGGTCCAAGTTGTCTTATCTCTTCCTGGTGTTCTGTAGGGGTCTGCAAGTACTGCTCACACCTGTGCTTGCGAATATTCTTGAAGCAGACCAGGAAAAATGCTGGGGATTTGACCAGTTCTTTGCAGAAACAAGTGACATACTGCACAGAATAATAATCCACATCTTTTCACTACAACAGATGACATCGCACAAAGTTTATATTCACAGCTATAATACGTAAGTTCTCTCTATTTTCATTATTTTCCTCTTACGCAGGCAAACAGTACTGTGACCTCAGTCACCAGTGTTACAAATTCAGTTTATCTTTCCTCGGCAGTTTATCTGAGAAAGTGAAAGCTTGTGATTCTCCTGTGTAGTCACAGTGCAATAGGAGCATGTTGACCAAAAATATAATAATTGAAGGTCAAATCAGCAGATCTTGAACTTGGTCGTAATCAGTGACAGAACAGAGACTTAATCCTTGATGTGTTACTTTTTGTCTGTGTTCTTAATGAATACCAACTCATCCCACATGTGTGTGTTACTTATTTGCAAAGTAATTTTCCAGAGTCTGTGTTCAACTCTTGCTTTTCTTATCTTGTCCTCAAGAATACAAAATATGCACATCTGTGTCTGATATAAAACTCTCACAGGACTTCAGAAGTTGTAATTGGTTTAGGATCCTGAGTTACATGGAGTTCACTTTATGGTCATTAAGTGCTGTAAAGTCTGGTTTATGGTTTGATACAAAAATAGATGCTTTTTCTCTGCCTTATTACCTCTAAAACAGAGCATGTGTTATTCTCTAATATATAAACAGATACAGTTATTTCAACAAATGTGTAAAAACTGTTCTGGCCTTTTCCAGTTTTTCTTTTCTATTACTTGTATTTTGAGAGAGCACACATACTATTTTTGCAGAGAAATCTTGCTTGTAGCTCAAACTGCTATTTGTACTTTATTTTTAAAATGTATTTTATTACTATTTACCTTTATTTACATACTATCTGTAGTATTAAGAAGTGACAGGGTACTAGTGCTGTACAGGAGGGAAATTGATTCTAACTGTCAGTGTGCTTAAGGTTTTCTTTTGTGGGAGGTTTTGTTTGTTGTTTGGTTTGGGTTTTTTTGGGGGGGAGGGTTAGTTATAAATTCTTATGCCTTGTGTGCATTGATTGCTGGAAATAGCGAAGTCTTCTTTATCATTGCTGTTTTAGGAGATAATCTGGCTGTCTGTTAGCTTACAGGGTGAATTTAAGGTGTGTACTTTTTGACATCTAAAACACCAGACTTCTCTTGGAGAGACCATCTGTTAAAGAAATGGGTATGCCTGAGAAAACTGATGTATGCCTCCTTCCTCTCAGATGGTGTTGCCTGTTTTTACTGACCTCCAAATTTCAGGCCAAAGGAAGTTTGTTTACAGAGACATGCTTTGGTGGAAAACCAGAGGTAGAAAAGGAAGTTTAGTGTTTTGCAGGAAATAGCATTTATTTTTGTAACAAAGCAAACTGGAGCCCTAGGCAATGTGCTGCTATTTGTTGTGCTTATAAGTAAAAAAGTTTTAGGTGTAAAACCAGCTTAAAAAGGATTTTAATTTAATTAATACAAAATCTGATTTGTTGAACTATTGTAACAAGTCTAACTCCTACTGAATATATTATTTGTATTATAGAGCAGCTATATTTCATGAGTTGGTCTACAAGCAGACAAAAATACCATCTCAGAATCAAGAACTAATATATGAAGGTCGGCGTTTCATACTGGAACCTGGCAGATTGGCCCAGCAGTTCCCCAGAACAACTGAGGAGAATCCTATCTTTGTAGTAAGCAGGGAGGCTGTGAACATTGTCGGATTAATCTATGAAGAAGGTATATGAAGGTCATTTCCCCTTTCTTATAGCTATCTCTTGAAAATAGTTTTTGTTATTTAATTATTTTTTTATGTCTATTATGTCTTAGGAATAGTGTTAGAAAATTTTCTGTTAATACCTGAAGTTCTGTGTATGCAGTCCAATTTTTTGCAAAAATTCTGAGTATCCAGCAAGTTTTTACAGAAACAATAGTTGCTTGTAATGTTCATAGTGCTGTGAGCATGAGTATTTGTGTGTTAGGGTCTAGTGGTGTGTATGGAGTTCTGAAATTTTTTGAAGCGTGATATTTTTAATAAGTAGAAAGGAACATTATTAGAATGTAATTCAAAACTGGCTCTTTTTTTTCACTAACTTGAAATTCAAGTTTTGCTGCTTTTTTTTTTTTTAATATGTCCTGAAGGTGGTTAACCTTTCAGTTAGCAGAGGTGGTCTTAATAAATTACCCTAGCTTAGATAAGGTAATGCCAGAACAGAAAAAAAAATAAAATTAAATTAAAGTTTTTGCATTTCCATTTATAATTGAGAGGCTTATAGAGGCCCCTATGCCAGAGCCCTTTTTTAAGAGATAAGGTGTGGAGGACATGCCTCCAGTTGAGAGGTCAGTGTTGCTTTTGTCAGTATTTCCCACATACTGACTACTCATGCCAGCTGACCCTCATGCAGAAATTCTGCAGGTGAGCTAGGTGGGTGAGGTGGGTAGATGAGCTGATACAGATGTTTGTTTTATGTTTCAGTTTTACTTCCTAAAGTACATCAACGTTATGATTTGGATGGGGATGCCAGTATGGCTAAAGTGAGTAACTTTGATTTTCATTTACATACCTGTCTCAGGTAATGATACCAAAATGAAAGCTACTTGATTTTCAGATGAATAAAGTTATTGAAACAATTTTTAATAAGCTAATGAGGATTTGAACTGACAGAAATGCATTTGCTAATAAGGGCTCCAAAAGTATATTAAAGCCATACTTTGTGTACAAAAGACGTTTATTTTTTTATAAAAAGCACAAACTCAAAAAACAGCCTTCTGAATTCCAAGTGCTTTGTTACTACAAAATTCAGTGATAGGGGAGAGGAGCCTGCAACTTTGGACTCCTGAAATGAGCCGGAAGATTCATAGCATTCCCTGTGATGGTGCAAAACTTGCAACAAGAAAAGTAACTTTCATCTTTCAATAAAGAGTCTCTAGGGCTCTGCAGAAGAGTGGAATTTCTGTTGACTCACTTGTAAATTTTCAGGATCTGTGGGAAACAAGTAGAGGTTGTTTCATTCTCGTGGTCATTTTTCTAAAACTACTTAATGGATGTATGGCCATGCTTTGACTTTGTGACCACTGTTGACACTATGCCTGTAAAATACCGGCTGCTGGGGAGCACTGTATTCAGACATGGTAGCCCTGAGAGCACGTCTCTAAATACCAGGAGTCTTTAATAAACAAAAAGTCATCAGTTTGTATTAATTATTTAAAATATTGTAAATTATAATTTCTTAACCTCTGCCCACAATTCTAAATAATGCTGCAAACATGTAACTGGAATTAAGCAAGGAAGGAGGTCCCTGGCCTTAGAATATAAATGTGTCATTTTTTTCAAGTTTCTTTTGATGTACGTGCTTAATTCCTAAACTACTGAAGAAATGCACTTGTGACTTTCCAGGAGCTAAAGTAAATCCTGAGAGTAAGTGGTGTAATTTTTGTTTATAAGAGACTTATTTCCATCCCTAACAGATATTTCAGCATAACTGGACAAACTCACTACCATGTTTTGCTGTGCCTCCATAATGAGTGTTTGATTATCTCCTGACTAAAGTTTGGGCACAGTTATACATTTTAAACTACCATCTTCATGTTGCTCATTCCTTTATTAATCTGTGTTGTTTTTTTGTGATTGACTTGAAACAATTGCTAAGAGAAAGTAAGATAAGCACCGATGTTTATTTTTTCCACCAGGCAGTAACAGGTGTTGTATGTTATGCCTGTAGAGTTGCCAGTTCTTTGCTACTTTACCAGGAACTGATGCGAAAAGGAATACGGTGGCTAATGTAAGCAATTCTTTGAATTTCATTGCACTTTTTTTTTAAAGTTGAGATATCCCTTGATTACCAACACAATTCCATGATCTTCCAGTATCTTGGGAGGTTTTCTTTACTCCCTGAATATGAATAGGCTTTCTGAATTTTTTATTTCTTTCTATGATTAAGGAAACAAAAATACTTGGGGGGGGCAATAAGGTTTAGGTATTTGCAATTTAATTTTCTTCTGTGAATAAGTCTAAGCTCTGGTAACATCTGTTACAGTTGAGCAGCTTGCACAAGATGATTTTATAAGGATTATACTAATACATGTCTTAACTAAAAGCAATTCTTACTAGCAGTTATTACTGGAGGTATATTGTATTACTGATTGCTGGTAAGACGTTAGTTAAATTCTTCTCTTATAAGCTAATGCTTCCCTTTTGTAGTGAAATAATCAAGGATGATTACAATGAAATGGTTCATAAAAAGACAGAGGTTGTCATCAGGCTGGATTTCTGCAGAAGAAATATTGAGAAAGCTGAGAAAATGTAAGTAGAAGCACTACACTGAATGTATTGGTTTTTCATTGTGATCTTTGATGACAGCAGCATTTTAAGTTGTGCTTATTTGCAGCGGTTTTGCATATAAAAATTAAATTTTAATCAACATAAATTTGCTGAGGGCAGTGAGTTAAGGAGATTTAGTTATATGCTTTACAACATTAGAGTGTTAATTTTGCTGCTTAACCTAGTGGGAACAAGTAATTACTATTGAGTAGTAATTGTATGTGTTTGTTTTCTCCTTTCTTTTCTGACACAGATCATGTGCTGTTGTTGACTTTAGAAGCTGTAGTAAAGCCTGGACAAAGAATGATGTAGCTTTCCTTTCATTAGTGCTTTTGTCACTGAGTTTGCTCCTGTGTGTTTATTAAGGAAGATTTTTAATACCACTCCTTTCACAGCCTTCAGACCATAGCATTTTCTGCATGCAAGGAATTTTAACGTTGAAATACAATATAGAGTAAATGCGGAAAAAAACCCAAACTGATGAAACAAACAAAAAAACACAAAAAAAACCAAAAAAAACCCCACCAAAAAAACCCACACCAAAAAATAAACCAAAAAGCCCACTAAAACCCAAATCTGCAGGTTATCACTAGATCACAGTGCATGCACACCGGGATACCTAAAGTAAACTGCACAGGAAATTCTACTTGTGTAATTTTTTTAAGTGCCTGACTATTATGTTGTTTTTGTTTATTTTGGTTAATTCAAGTGGCTGAGACCTGTATCACAGAATCTCACTGTTGCCCATGTGGACTCATTTAGATCTATATAGTAATGAGTTTTTAAGAGCTCTTTCTTTAAAACTGACAACATTCATAATAAGGAGCAACTAAAGAATCTTGTAGCATGGGAGACTTCCAAGTTTCAAAGACCAAAGAAGACATTTATTTTGTCTTCCTTTCCAAGGAAGCAAATGTTTTCCAGCTATCAGACTGTTCTGCCTTGCCTCTCCCAGTCAAGTGCTGTCTGGAGGAGATGAGATTGCACCATTTAATTCTCCCTCCAAGTTTCATTTTTTCTCTCTCCTTATCTTTGTTTCATCTCCAAGTCCCACTCAGTGTCCAATTCTCAGTCAGATTTTTTTCCACTTTCAAAGCATCCTTGCAGGTATTTTGTTCAGTCTTTCCACAAACTAGCATTAACTCGTTAAGGTGTGTTATTCTCACGCAATCTGATATGAGCTTTAAACCCCAGCTCTTCATAGTCTGCTATGGGTGGTTGATTTTCTATTCAACCTACTGCCAGTCTCCCCCATAAGCTGTCTTGGCCATAGGATTCTGTAAACTTGCTTTCAGGCTGCTCTGAAAATGCACATGCCCACAAGATGATTATTGCACACACGTAGAGCCACTGGTTGTGCAGAGTAGACTTAAGACTAAACTTGAGCCATGTTGGAGCTGCTGTGCCTGTGTGAATTAAGCAGCTTGTATGTAGTTATTATGAGTACTCAAGGATTTGTCAGATTTTCTGTGTGCCTGCCAAACATGAACAGTCTGGCACACCTGGGCTTTAAAAGAAGCTGACGAACAAGGAAAAAAGTGAAACTAGCAAAGCTGATAACTAGCAAGATAACAGTAGTTACAAATCATCAGGGTTGTGATTCAAGCCAGTTTACGCTAGTTGAGAGGACTGGTTCTCATTCAGCCTGTATTTAGGTTAGGTAGTGTCTTCCTGCATTCTGCCAGGTCCCCACAGATAAAACCACTTAAGAGTTTAGAAGAAACTGCTCTAGGTTTTGCTTTGTGATTGTAGTGAATTCAGCAGTATCTCAGAGTGGCAATTGGAAAAAAAATGTGTTCACTTGTGAACTCTAGTAGTTCTCATATGAACAGAAACTTGCTGTGTTTGCATGTGCCCTTTTGGCCTCTTTTGATAAGAGGGTGGGGTTTTCAGTTGACTTTATAAAGACTTTTATGGAGTTAGCAAAGGGCATATCCTCTTGTTTGTCCTCCCATTTCAAGGCTGTGCTTCAAAGCATGAAAATGCAAAGCTTTTATTTGAAAGGTAAACAAATAGATCAGAATATGCTTTTTGAAAGCAGCTTAGCTGGTTTTGATGATGATTTTATAAACAAAATGTGCCTGAGACAGGAAAAATATAATCCTGAATTATTTATTTGGAACTTGAGCTATGGTCATATGGAAAGTATCAGTATGAACATATGGTGCTACTGGCCCAGCCTTAAGGTTTTGGTAACTCAGCCAACCCAAGGTTTTGGTAACTCAACCTTTCCAAGAAGTTTCCACAGAAAAGCATTTTAGGGTACTGGACTATTAGTTTGTTTTGTGTCATTGACTTACTTTAAGTCACTTTAGTTTGGTAACCTTTTAAAAATTATTTGATGAGAAGAAACAGTTTTGCATTGCCTGTTGAGTACGAGTAATGAACAGAAGAAGTCAGGAATGGATGTTTCAAACTTCTTTTCAACAATTCAAATATAGGAAAAAAACCTCAAGGAATTTCTTTCATAACTAAAATGTTTCCATGATTAGTGGCAACTTAAGGTTGTCAGTGCTTCATGGTTGCTGCTTGACAGATACTGCATTTTATATAAAAGAAAAGGTAGTTATTGTTACACTCGTGATTCAAGGAATATTTTGAGTGTGTTCACTGCTTGGTTATTTTCTTTTTTACTCTGTTTTTTTGTGGTCAGTTACGAGAATTTGATGCAGATCAACTTGGAAGCATCAGAAGTGGATGAAATTTCAGAGATACACACAAAACTGCTGCGTGTAAGTATCTTACAAAGCCCGTGAAACCTCAAAATAGTGTTTCTAAGGAAAAAGCCAAATACACACTAACATGTGTTTTTCTGTGAATAACAACTCTGAATTTTCAAAGTAATATCTAGACTGCCAAATGTTGTTTAAATGCCCACGCTGAGATGTGCACATTTTTCTCAAAGCAGAGTAAATCCTTTTATTAGCCCAGTGTTGTGAAAATAATAAGTTCCTGAAAATACCTTATTATTTTCTAAAATACCGAAGCAAAAAATTGTAACTACAAAATATGTTTTAGTTTGTTTTTTTCCCCCTCTTCTTAAAGAATTTTTAACTCCTTTGTTGGCTTTCTAAAATTATACATACACAAACACAGTTCAGGGTGATCTGCTTGGAAATTTACATCATGTTTCCAGAGAAGTAAGTAAAAATTGAAAATAACTTTACACACTGGTGTCCTGGGAGCAGGTATAAAGTTCTCCATTCTAAAAGCAGAAGTTAATTAGTGCATTTTTATTTTGAAGGTTGTATGAGCTGCGGATAAAAAAAGGTATGAATTTTGTAAATAGTCATGATATGAATTCTTAACAAACTGAAAGAACAGATCTATGAGTAAATAGGGAATATGTGAAAGGTAGAAATTTTTTGTTGAAAGAAAGTAAATACTAGCTAACAGAAGGGCCAGCATCAAAGTTTATTCTTTCTTCAATAATTCTGTGCTTTGTTTGCTTTTAGCAAAGTTAGGCTGATAATTTGGCATACTGTTTTAATGAAGGTCAGTGTAACAAATGGGTCTATTGTATTAACATGCTCAGTCTGTTTTCAGCCTCAAGTAATTTTTCACTTTACCCAGTAGTAAAATGGAACTTTCTTCTTCTTATGTAGCTCTCCAGCTCTCAGGGCACAATAGAAACTAGTCTTCAAGATATCAAAACCAAACTTTCTCCTGGTGGTTTACTGGCTGACACTTGGGCAAATCAGGAAGGCATGCATCCAAAAGACAGAAAGTGAGTAACTGTATTAATTGTTTGAATATATATTTAATTCTACATTTAGTTAAAAAAAATAATTAATAGATACTTAAGTTTATATGTATAATAACCCGTTTCCTTCCTTTTGTCTCTCTAGTCCAGAAAGGCTGCGAGCACTGCTGAGTTCCATCACAGATATTTATTATCAGTTCAAAAAAGACAAAGCAGAACGAAGTAAGTAACTTAACTGATTCACTTTTAACATATGTAATGTAAAGAATAGGTCAGTCCTTGTTCCGCTAGGATATTTGTGGTAGGAATGGTGATTTAGTCAGCAGCAGTGAATATGTCTGTAGGTCTGTCTTAATAAGATACTGTTGTAAAGCCCATATGAATGAAACACCACTATTGATCTCATACATTTGCATTGCAAGCAAGACAGGAGGGAAAAAAAAAGTAAATGACACTTCTACCTTTCAGGATAAGAGAAGGAAACCATATAGGAAATGGGTAAACTTAGTGGAGCTTTACTTAAATACAGCTATCAGAATTAAACCGGTAATGTCTGTCATCTGCTCTGATCCTAGGGCTTCCTTATAATGAAGAACAAATTCACAAGTTTGACAAGTAAGTTTTGAAGTTACCTTTGGGAAATACTGTTATTGCTTTCAGGTCCTTCAGATGCTCTTCTGTTGATTTTTATTGTAAATTATAACCTTTTTAGAATTCTGATTTTCTCTGTAAAAAAACTCCTTTCATTATCTTAAATACATAGGGGTGTCAGCATATGATGATGAGGTGCTTTCTGGCAGTGGAGTTTCTTCGCTGATAGACCTTCAAAATGTACATGTGAAATACCTGCTTGTTACCTTGGTGTAACTATCTTAGAGGAAGTACATTTTATTCCCTGTTTTTTTAGGGAGGAAATAGCCCTTAGTAAGAGTGAAGTGACTTTGTAACTAAGGTGGAGAGAATTTTCTACAAATTAATAAAGTGTGGGCTAGCTGAATGAAATTCTAGAACTATTTAATCTTCCAGGAAATACAGCATGTAAAATAAATTTTAATTGAGTTCTCCATGCCTGTTCAAAATTGTCCCTTTAGAGAGGTGGCCACGTTAGGTATCTGTGTAACCTGCCTGTCTAGACTCCCATTAGGCTCCACTGGCTCTGTGTATTATTGGCTGGCTCATGCTGCTGTACTTGCCTCAGTATTGATCCAGTTCTTCATATGCAGATGCCTAACATTGTACTAAGCTGCCCTAAAGTATCTGGCACATGCTTGGAGGCTGAGAGGTAGGACACAAGACAAATGGGAAATCTAGACTATTCTGGACAAACAGCAGGGCAAGATATCCTTGTGCATCTCAAATGACACTTGGTTTTCCCATAGTGAAAGCTGAATGGGTAACTGCCAGGTGCAGGGGAGGTTGCCATAAGATGGACAGTAGGGCAGGAAGCCTCCAAGATCTTGATAAATTGAAAGAGACTTGGATGCATCCTTTCCCTGCAACATCAAGGGACTGACCTTCATGTGAGAGATAATGAGGGTGATAATTTTGTCATATGTTCTTAAGGATGTGGTTGGAAAGCAGGCAAACATTAGGACAAAATCCATAACGCATCTTAAAATTGTGCTCCCTTAAGCAGATTAAATACATTTTAGGGCATTTTCTACTGCTTGAACTGTGTCCTTGCATTAATATATGAATAAATAGATAGACTTCATTTTCATGGTTTTGAATATTGGTATCTTTTCTGCCACAAGTGACTCCTTGGGATTGTTTAGGTATCTGTGAGATCCTAACTACAACTTATTTTACTTGATTCACCCCAGAGAGAAATGACAGTGTTTTTTGTTAAGAACTGTGTGCCATTAGCAATAGAGGCTGCCTTTGTAATATATACCACTAGATAGCACTCAGACTTTTTTCTGATTTAATGATAGGTGTGAATGATAGCCTGATGAGGCTCCAGCTACACTCTAGCCAGACTTCGATTAACCAATTGCTGTCATCTACAACTTAATAAAATACCAGAACCAAGTGTGAGACTGTAGTGCCCCAGTATCCCTTAGTTTTGCTTACTGGGGCAGTACATAGAATGGTAAGGCAGTTACACTGGGATTATTGTCTGCAACACTGAATAGAATTTGGTTTTGGTTTTATTTCCTGTCCTTATCTGCTTGTGTCTTTCTCTTGACCTGATTTTAAGCTGACACAAAAATCCTGGATTTTTTTCTTGCCTGTACATTACTCAGCAGGGTTGTGCTGGAAGTTCCAAATAACTGCAGAAGGCAAATAAGAAATAATAAGGATTTATGTCCTTTCCCTTTAGAATCCCTTTTCCTTAAATATACCTGCTCAGATAAGTACTGACTCAGGGAAGACATTTGACCATTTGTTCATATACAAATAGTTGCAAATAATGCTTCATTTGTTTTTCTCCCTGCTAGGGAACATTTTTGAAACAAACTATCAGTTTTTGTAGCATGTTGAATTCTTATACATTTCAACAGCATGAATAAAGGTGGCTGAAGTGATTTTAAATCCACATACTGCTTCTCCAACCTTCAGAAAGTAAGTTAAAGGAGTGGGGTTTTGAAGGCAGTGTAACACTGTTTTGGTTGTTTCTGTGTTGCAGGCAGAAGCTGTATTTGCATGCCACAAAAGCCATAGCTCTATTCAAAGATGAATGTGTTCGAAAGTATGATACATTTTTGGACAAGGCTGAGGACTGGACAAGGCAAGCTGTTGATTTCTTTAATATTTGGCATAGTTTGCTGCATCACTTTCATAAGGAAGCTCTTAAAAGAACATTTTTTTTTTTTTCTTTTAGGAAAATGCTTCATACAAGGAAACAGTTACTGGCTCTCACCAACCAGTGTTTTGATATTGAAGAAGAGGTATCCAAATACCAGGATTATATAAATGAGGTAGAATGCTTTCAAATAATGTAAAATGTTTGCATAGATAAAAGACTATTTGACATGGTTTAATGTCAATAGTGTTGTTTGTAGTGAGTCTTCAATTAATGCAGTCTTACTAAAGTACAGGGCTGCATGGATGTAGTGTTTGGTCTGTAATAGCTTTACTGCTGATGTTGAAGTGGTGCAAAGAGTGGAGTGACTTCTTTAATCCTGACTTAATTTTTGCACTTGGTGGGGTTTTTTGGGGGGTTTTGTTTGTTTTGTGTTTATTGTTTGTTTTTTTGTTATTTTGTTTTGTTTTTTTTTTAATGGGATTTGGTTTTTCTGGTAGTGCTAGCACTCCTCCCAGGAGAATTGTTCAAATGGATGTGGGTTCACTGAAAAGTGTTCTGTGTAACTGTCATCACAGTATCTGAGCACCTAGTGGATTATCTTAATACTCTTACCAAGCATAAAAACACTACTCTCATATTCAGGATTAGAGGATACCTGCTTAAGGATACATTCTTAACTAATGCTGCTGGTGACGTGAAAGCAAATGTTTTTTTTAATTTGGACAGTAACTTTTCTGGATGCAAACTTAGGAGAATTACCTCAAAATGGAGCCAATGAGAGCATTTTCCATGCAGTAAAATTACAGTTCTTTATAAAGGAAATGTAAACAAAAGAAAAGCACCTGATAGATGTAAAAGTAATTAAGGAATGGCAGAGAGCAGCATTTTATTTGTCTGTATTTTAGTAGCACTACCAAAGTCAGTTATTAATTAAGATGCTGTTGCCTTAGGATATCAACAGACATAACAAACACGTAATTCTTCCTTTTGAGAGTTTATTTTGAAAGTATAAGACAGTTAAGAAGATGAAACAAATCAGGGAATTACAAATTGTGTCAATTGAAAACTTGCCATGATCTCAGCTTGGGCAACATCAGCTGCCATACTGCTGTAAATATTTTATTAGGCATCGTAGCAATGGAGCATTTACAGAAGGATTTTAAAGTTGACATCAAGATGACAGCTTATATTATAATGTATGTTTCCCTTTTTATTCTATTCCAGTTACAAGATGCTCTGCCCCAGAAAATGTTTGCAGCTTCCACTGGGATGAAACATACAATGAATACAGTCTATCCAAGTTCAAACACACTAGTGGAGATGACACTTGGGTGAGAATTTCTTAATTGGATTGATGTAATATTCTGTATCTGTTTTACTGGCAAATTGAAAAAAAAAACAAGTAAATTTACAGCTGACTTAGTTATTGCTGTATTAAGATGAAGAATCGCATATTGCAGAAAAAAAACCTGTACATTGCTGAAGTGGTGGTACAGATTTGCAAGCGAGGAGGGACACTACTAGATCATTTGTCAATTTTATTAAATAACCAATCTGTTATCTGTCCCTTACTTTGTATGTAGTGACATGTTGCTGAAAGCTGTGTGGTGGTGAGTGCGCACATCAGATAACTGTCCCTAAACAAACTGTAAACTTTATTTCACTTCTTGTTACTACAGTATGAAGAAACTAAAGGAGGAAATGGAAGGCGTTGTTAAAGAGCTGGCTGAGAACAATCACATTTTAGAAAGGCAAGCAGTTGTTTTCCTATTTTGGGCTGATACTAGGAACGTGTTGAATTTGGTACACTTTGTAGATGCAGAACTTAAACTAAGGGACAATTCTATAATCTCTTTAAATATATTTTGAACTGTTAATCTGAGGTGTAAGCTACAAACGAAGAGTATTGAAAATCTTGAAATGTTACTGTAAAATCATCCTGCCACAGCAATCGTGGCACTTTTGTTTCATGTCACTTATATTTAGCTAATGAAATATCTGTTGAAAAGACAGATTAATTCTGAATTTAAAGAAAATTCTGTTGCAGCAGTGTTGTGTCTTTGAACTTCTCACTTTTAGGCATAATTTTTAACAATCGTTACCACATAGAGACTGATTTTTATGATGATGATAAAATATTTACAAATAATGATCTCCTGAAAGCTTCAGAGTAAATTGCTGGCAGAGCTGAGCTTAGCTTCCAGCTGAATTGATTTTGTTTTTTTCCCTCATCCTCAGTCCCATTCTTGGAGCATAGTATCCTCTCTTCTGTCTTCTTTTCACATGCTGAGGCTAGATACAAGTGAATGTGTTGGCATGTGGCAAAGAAAAGGATAAACCCAGAAATAAATTACAATGAATTAAAGATTGATTCTCTTATCTAGTCAGCCACTTAAGAATATACTGTTTTTCTTTTTAGATTCGGTGCTTTGACTACGGATGGTGGCCTGAGGAACGTGGACTGTGTTTAGCTTTCAAAGGACCCCTTAAGAGGCCTTGTAAATTTTTTCATAGGGAAAAAAAAAACCCACAACATTGGGACATTTAAAAGCAGATAACAAATCTGTATCCAGGTGTTTTTTTTTCCCTCTACAACTGTAGTATTAACAAAAAATGTAAATATGTATAATATGTAAATATGAAAGAAATATATCTTTTTCTGGTCAAAGTTAGGATGGATTTACCTGTGGCCCCTTGCAGGATCTCTGACAAAATCCTAAAGAAAGAAGTATTGTTGATTAAATTGATACTTGTTTGCTTTGAATACTGCCCTTTCTTCAGAATGCAATTTAAGCTCTACTGCAAGAGGACCTGCAGGACTCTAAACATTATGACTAGTCTTTAAAGGGTGTTTTGGACTTCCTTTAGCTACCACTATTACCTTTGAGTCTAGTGGAATGACTCTGATCAACACAGAACAGTTTTAAATGAAATGTTTTTAAACAAGTGTGACTAGGGAATAAAAGCACAGATAGGACAGAGTGGAAATGCATTTATCTTCACATCCAAACTGTTAGTTCACTTCTACTTGAGAAAACAAAGTAATGATATTTTTTTAAGTTCCTCTTCATATTTGGTGCCATGTTGTCTGCAATAATTTCACTGCTGGAAGTTTTGCACTCCAGGTTGTCAGACTGAATTTAAAAATTCCTTATTTAAAGTACGGCATTTTCAGAATTTCCCTTAAATCTTTTTGCTCACCACAGAATAAGTGGGTTCTTAAAATAAAATAGGTTTTTCAGAATCCTGCCTGCAGGCATGATTTTTAAAAAAGGTTAAAAATGGCTGTTAGGAGAATTTAGAGGCAGATCAGTAGACCAGACAGCATCATGCCTCAGTGGTAACTGAATTTTGGAAAAATAAGTTACAGTCAGATCTTGAAAAGGGACTACACCCACTGCCAACTTAGGACTTGAGATATCAAGCTGAGGTGGACATTTAGTCAGACTGTGTATTTATTTTCCAGTATCAGTAGTTACTACTTTCAGTACTACATGATTGGGTTGCAGAGATGCAGAATGAAAGAACCTGCTCCCAGATATGTAGGAGAGGAGAAAGAGAAGAGGAAAAGAATCAAAAACTCAGAAAACATCCCTCACTTTTGTTTGGATATTACAGGTTTACTTACTTGTTTCAGACTGAGAGCAAGCAAATATTTCAGGACTCATTCTTCCCTTGTAGAAGCCTGGCCATGGATGTTCAGTGGTGTCCAACAGCACTTCTCGTTGCTGTATTACATCTGTAAGAAGAGCTGGACCAAGTATATTTAGAATTTTCCATAGTTAATGGTGAAACATTTAGGTATAAGCTGAACAGCAGTAACCTGTGATAGCATCTGACAGTTTTGTGATGCTTTTTCCCTGCTTATCTGTCTGGGTCAGAACACAAAACTTTTCCATTGCTTTTTAAAAAATACTTGAATAGAAACTTTTGAAATTTAGAATTTATTCGTTCATTGTTTAAAACAAGAGGAAATTTACTGCCTTGATGTCCAAAACCTGCTTTCCTGTTGTTCTTGGTGAGAATCAGACATTAAAAGGGAATTTGGATAGTTTTGCACCCACAAGAGCAGCTATTTTCTTTGCAAGCTTTGTCCTTACAAAAATCTAGCTATGCAAAAGGAGTGCAACAGTTTGTTAAATGTTTTTCCTTGGTTAGCCATGGCATTCTTAACTGTTTTCAAATACTGGAATCATGTCTTAACTGGAATGTTTTAATGCCTGCTTGTACATTTGTTCTTTCACATCCACAGTCTCACCAAGTGTCAGTAAAACACGTGCAAAAGTGTTCAAAGAATTGGGCTCTCAGACTGTGCATAAATTGAACTTTTCTCCAATATTACATCAGTAACGCTTGGTGGTTTCGAAGGTTCTTGATTTTGAAGGCAATAAAGTCTTAGCTTGAATATATAATTTTCAACCTCTTTATATTGAAGCAGTTTGACAAAGAAGGTTAATTGCAGTAACAATAAGTCTGCATATCGGAATATGCGCGGCCTTCCTTTACATGATTGAAAATGGTTTATATTTTATTTTTATTTTTATTGCTGGTTTTAGTGTTGCTAAATACATCCGTAATCTTGTTAAAATTTCTCTTCCTAAAGCAATTTTAACTACACAGTAGCTAATGAAGTAATCAGTTCGTAAGGTCCCAATTACCTTCTTATGAAGCAAATACATGCTCGAAGTCCAAGCAGAGTGTTGCAGTACCATCAATTTTTGACTTGCACTAAGTGTCCTGATACTATCAGTCATGCTACTGATTTGCCAAAAGAAGTAATGGAAAGTAATATATGGTTCTTCCTCCTGAAGCTGGTTTACTGTCTTGGGAGGGTTTGCTTAGTATATTAATTATCTGTTACTTGAACAACCCTGTCTTCATATGAATTGTGACAATGCATGAGTGAATGGCTTAATGGCACAAATACATCATCAACCACTTGCTGTACGGTGTGCACTTCCTTCTGTCTCTTTTCATAATTTCACTTTCTCTTCATTTCAGTATTACCTTGTAATTTTTATTTCCTCTAAGTGAATACAAAGCCCGAAATCTGAAGTAGCAAATGGCAGCTAAGGTTGCGTTAGCCAGCTGCCCAGAAAACATGTCCCATACGATAGAATCTCCAGCATTTATTTTTTTAACCACGGGGCTGGCTCACCTGTGTTCTGAACAGTATTAGTTCTCTGTAACAGTGGCACAGTTTCTCATCTCTGTGTGAAACAGTCCACTGGTGGAGCTCTATCAGCACTAATGTAGTTAATTACTGTAGAATTGATAATCATAGAAAAAATGTGGATGTAATGTTATGGCAGGGATTAAAGAGGCTGAATGTAAAGATTATTGCTTGGGCTGAAGCACAAAAGACTTGTGGAATGAACTGCAGGTGCATAAACTTGTTTGGGTAAAATTAAACATGGAACTATTATGAAGTTAACTACTACGAAGAATATCACAAAGCCTGCTGTTACTTTGCAGTTCCTTCCAGGAAGGGCACAGTGCTTGGTGTGGGTAGCCATATTTGGTGAGCTAGACCAGTGACAGTTTCTAGTTGTGGACATGAAAACCAGTGGGATGGATGCCCACCCCTGTCAGTGCAGAGGAAAGCTTGGTTTGCCTGTGATTGGCCTGATGACATGCATGGCCTGATGACATGACAGTTGTATTCTGCTCTTGGAAACACGAATGTCCAACACAGTCCGTTGCTACCTGGGCTTCCACAGCCTTCCTTCCAGCAAGGGGTGGGTTCTGTCACTGCAGCCTCGCCATGGGAAGCAGTTCCCGAGCTGGCTGCTTGGAGTCATTTAGGCAGATCATTTTGATCAGGACCTACTGAAATGCATCATAGGACGGTTTGTATTGGAAAGGGTCTTGCAGCCCAGCTTTTGCCAGCTTCCCCCCCGCTTCAGCACCCCCGCCTGGGCTGTAGCTGGCGCGGCAGCCGCAGCCGCCTTTGCTAACGCGCTGAAAGGGGACGCTGGCACGGTCTGCTGCTCCCCAGGGAGCCCTGCAGCAGTTTCAGGTTTAAGCAGGCAGGTGCAGTTTACAGTCTTTGAAGAAATCAGGTGAAAGTACTTCAATTTTTAATTATTTTTTTTTTTACTTTCATTCCCTGGAACTCTCTGTGTGAATGTGCAGATCAGTTGTTCATAAATCCTGCATCTCCAGGTCCTGGAAATGCATCACAGCCAGGCTGCTCCTGCTTTCTACCACTTAAAATCTGTGCGAGGCTGCATTAAAACAGCCGGTGTTCCTAATGCCTGGGAGAGGTGACAGCCAGAGCTACCGCTGAGCTCACCGACAGGACTTTTCTGAAGCTGTAGGTTTGACAGATCTGGGCTTTCCCTTTCCTGCGGGGCCGTGACTTGCTGCCAGCTCGCTACGGAGAGGCTGGGCGGGCAGGAGCCCCCGGCGGGGCCGGGCCCGCCCTTCCCCGCCCTTCCTTTCCCCGCCCCGACGGCCGCGGCGGAGCTTGGGGCTCTCACCTGCCGCCGAGGAGGCTCCCCAGAACTCTCCCCGTGGAATCTTCAGCTGGGGAAACAGAACACGAAGTCAGCAGAAGCAGTGTGCTGTTAGGTCTTACTTGTTTTAGCCACGGTAGTCAAATGTCCCTGGTGGAAATGCTTCCCGTCTCCTGATGGCGACGCCCGTTGTTCCCGGATGCCCTGGGAAGGGCAGGTGGGAGCGCTGGGGCCGGCAGAGCGGGAGCGTCCCGGAGCCGCCGGCT